TGGTTACCCTACTAATAATAATAATAATAATAATAATAGACGTCGTTATTTCTTTACAACAGCATTGTAATGCAGCTAAGGTAAGACTAAACCATAAAAGTCACTAGCAGATAATAATAATAACAATGAAATACTATTCACAACAAATTAAAACATTCAGTAATAAATTTTTACAATAAAGCGAATACTGCCACCAGTTACAATCTAATCAGAATTGTAAAATTCCACTAACGTTCCTTGAAATATACTAGTGTGTCCAATAAGTACCACGACAAACTTAAGGAGAAGGTAGGCTGACCTCCCAGATAACAAAAACTTACCTATATAAAAGTGTCACCGTTTTTGAGATATTGAATTTGTTCTTAAATTTAAAAAAAAAACGAACCTTTTCATCTGTGGTCTTTAGCTGCATATATAAATTATATACGTACTTTGTTCATTTTCGCTATAAAATACTTCTAGATAGTTGCTTTATCACATACAAACGCAATGTAGTTAAAAGATATTAAAGAACCATGATCAAATAAGGACTATTTTGGGACTTATAACCTTCTGATATTTTTTCCTCAACTTTGACCATCTGTGGTGAAACAAAAATGTACTGGGCAATAACTGCATTATATTGAATAAAAAGATTGAATACAGATTTCAGAAAGGCACCACACGTACTGCTTGGAATATAAAAGTGATAGCTGCTTTTGTAAGTGACTGACACACACTACAATGTAATTATTGGATTTAAATTCAAGTGACACCGGTTACCGATCAGTGACATGCTAATAGTACAAAGCTACATTATTATTACCTGCTCCTGATATGATTTTATGAAACTTACTGAAATTCGGACTCGAGTCAGTAACAATATAAAATAATCATTTTTGTAAAGGACGGTTAGCGTGAAATAAAGCACAAATTGTTTGTGAAAAAAATGTATTCATTTATTGACAAAATATGCTCAAATTGGCGACCTCCTATTCTAATACAAGCTCGGCATCTCTTAAGACGCTTTTAGAGTTCTCAGATTCAATTGGGCTATCTCGGCAGCAGCTTGATGTATTTGTTCTCGCAAATGTTCTTCGTTTTGAACTGGTTTTTAATAAATTTTGTCCTTAAGGACAACCCCAGTAGAAGAAATCTAATGGATTCAGGTCGAGCAGGTCTAAATGAACTCTCACTTCACGACAGTAGTGAGCAGGGCAGCCGTCATGTTGTAGCCATAGTGTACGCCGCAGATTCAAGGGTATATCTTCTAAAAGAATTGGAAGCCGTTCCTGCAGGAACTCTAAATAATTTTATAAGGTGAGCGTTGGTGGCAGACCACAGGTCCCAATATCTGAATTAAGAATCCCGCTTCATAAATTTATTTTGCACTGGTACTGCGACCGATCTGTTCTCATTTCGTGAGGATTTACTGTCTGCCAACTGAGAAGGTTATGTAAATTAACATAACCATCACGCTTGCAAGCCGATTCATCGGTCCAAATTATTTTATCCAAAAAGTTGGGGTCCAATTGATCTCTTCTCTGCAAAAGCTAACCCTCGCCGGGTAATCTCTCTCTGCTAAAGCCTGAACACGTTGAATGTGGTAGGGATGAATCTGATGGTCTTTCAAAACTTTGCGAACTGTAGATCTTGGTATTCCAGTCCACCTTCCTATCATTCTGACTGAAGTCGTTGGATCTCCTTTTACTTCCTCTAATACAGCTTCAACATCTACCGTTTTAGGACGTCCTGTCTCGCCGCCACGCCTTCCAGGTATGCGACCTGAGGAAAATTAAAAATTAAATTTCAAACACGAAAGATTTTGCATGAGGGGTACTTTTAGTAATTTTTCTTTATTATTAACAAGAAACATGTAAACATTTCTTACCTTCATATGTTCCTGTATGAGTCCGGGTGAAAACTTCGTGACCCGGGTGCCGGCGATTGGGGTAGCGCTCTGCATAGAGCCTTTGAGCCGGTCTGGCATTACCGCAAGCTTCACCGTAAATCAGATAAATATCCAATGTTTGTCGGTTCAACTCAAAAAAATCCGATCCAAAAGAGCGACAAAAGTGTACACAATCTACAACGTCCAGGTAGTAACGCAAATATGGGTCCGATATTATATCAGAAACCTACAAGGATGCATACCTTTGTCAGTAGAGCGAGACAGCAGATAACTATTTATACTGATTTTCGCTATGGTTTTACGCTATCAACTGGGGTAATCAGTACCGTGGAACAAGAATGTATCCCTTTTTTTATTATTGTTGACTATAGTCCGAATTCGAGTAAGTATTACAAAATAATATCAGGAGCTGTTAATATTATCGTTTTACTATTTAGCATGTCATTGATCGGTAACTTAAATTTAAATCCAATAATTAGCATGTAGTGTGTGTCAGACAAATATCACTTTTTTCTATTTCAAATACAACGTGTGGCGCCGTTCTAAAATCTGTATTCAATGAGTAATTTTTTATTCAATAAATGCAGTTATAGGTCAGTAAATTTTTGTTTCACCACACGTACAGGTGGTCAAAGTTTATTAAACAATATCAGAAGGTTCCAAATCCCAAAACAGTCCTTATTTTATTAAGGTTCCTCAATATCTTTTAACTACATTGAATTTGTATATGATAAAGCAACTATCTAGAAGTATTTTACAGAAAAAATGAACAAAGTATAACCTTATTTGTGCAGCTAAAGCTTCCTTTTTTTTAAATTCAAGAAAAAATTCGATATCGCAAAAACGGTGTTTTTTTATATAGGTAAGTCTTTATTTGAGAGGTCAGTCCAGTGCCTACCTTCTCCTTAAGTTTGCCGTGGTATTTATTGCACACACTGTATACCAAAGACTGCAGAACTACTCACCAACGTCAGTAAGTCGAATTTTTTTTATTCAAACACCACATAATATCTCAGTCAAAACATGTAAATTAAATCACAGTTCATTCAAAATGCTTTGCAAAGGAGAGTCGCCAAAAAGTGTGTAGTGACATTCCTACTCCCAAAAAGGTCAAGGCCACAGTAGCCTTATATAGCAGTACATCTTTCTTGGACTTTTTCCATATGACTTGTCCATCGTCTATTTGGTAGGCTTTCTGCTTCTTCTTCAATGCTTGGAGGTTTCTAGAAGTGACGCTACCTGGGCCTCCAGAGGCTTGTCTGGTTAGTATGTCGCTTGCGCGTAATCGCGAAGGTAGACTGAATACCCTCGATGTCATCATTTCACTAGAAAATTCTAAATGTCAAAATTGGTTGATAGAAATGACAACAAAATGGCATCCTATTCTATTGCCGTCTAAGATACCGGTTGTGCTGTCAGTAGATATACGGGATGTTAAATTTAAAATTATAGTCGTATCTTGTGCAAATTGTATGGTGTATCTTTGCGTATTTTAAATCGGTAGGCCAAAGATGAACTGGCTACCGGTTCCACATCGAATCCCTTTTAGATATTTCAGAATGGTTCGTATTACAATACCAAGGAAGCAAACATATTATTTAGGAAATGTTTGAGTAACATATTATTTATACTAAGTGACATATAAATCCGAACACCCAGTTCAAATGGTTTTATTTTAATAAAAGTTGGTGAATGTAACATATTTATCTTACTGTAAATAACAAGTGAACAAATTTTCAGCCTTATCAGTTGGACATTCCGGTTTTTATACTGCTTTTTTTTAATTCACTAACGCTCTAAAAATGAATATTTCAGCCGCAGTAAAGAATCAACGTTGGCGGATTTTGGTTCTTAACATCTTTTACGATCGGTTACGATGCCTAGAGTACGGAGACCTGTACGATTTCGTCAACTTAGTGAGTTTGATAGGGGCCGTATAGTGGGACTTCGGGAAGCTGGACTTTCTTTTCGGGCAATTGCAGTTAGAGTGCAAAGAAGTGTAGACACTGTGGTTAGGTGTTGTCAGGCATGGCTTCGAGAAGGCCGTACGCAAAGAGCAAGGGGCATTGGACGCAGCCGTAGAACAACAGACCGTGAAGATCGCCGCCTAAGATTATTGACCTTAACTGACCGTTTCTCCACTACCAGGTCCATTGCAAATGAATGGTTTGCAGAACACGGAAGACCTATTGGCATGCGAAGTGTTTACCGACGAATGAGAAGTTTTGGCTTGTTTTCATACCAGCCACACTGGGTCCTCCATTTAACTCGAGAACACCGACGTAATCGCCTTGAGTGGTGCAGACAACGGTCACTCTGGGATCAGGAATGGAACAGTATTGTCTTTAGTGACGAGTCTCGATTTTGTTTAGGCATGCACGATGGTCGTGCCAGGGTTAGAAGGCGACGTGGTGAAAGGAGGAATCCACAGTTTTTTGTTGAAAGACATGTTCATCACACTGTTGGAGTTATGGTTTGGGGTGCTATAGCTTATGGTTCCAGGTCACCTTTAATCTTCATCAGAGGTAACATGAACGCGCAGCGTTATATCCACGAAGTTCTAGAACCCCACCTTTTACCCTATCTTGACACCCTGGCAGATCCAACTTTCCAACAAGATAATGCCCGACCACATGTTGCAAGAGTCACAATAGACTTCTTTCAACATAATGATGTCACATTGTTACCATGGCCACCAAGATCTCCCGACTTATCCCCAATTGAGCACGTGTGGGATATGATGGGTAGGAGATTGCTCAATTTGCAACGTCCTCCTCAGACTCTAGAAGCACTTCGAGAGGAGTTGGTGGTTGCCTGGAATGAGATACCACAGGAGGACATTGACCACCTGATCAGAAGCATGCCTAGGCGCGTTGGAGAATGCGCAGCACATCAGGGTGCATCCACACATTATTAAAGGTCAAAGGGCTTTAAAGCAGTGCAATGATTTTGAAATTTTTATCATTTACTTATTATGCTTCATTAAGTACTTATACAAAATTTTATTAAAATAAAACCATTTAAACTAGGTGTTCGGATTTATATGTCACTTAGTATAGAAAGACTCTTCTCATCACACGGTTTAGTCCATTCAAAACTACGTAATCGGCTAAGCGATGTCAAAGCTGTTAAGTTGGTACCCATTTTTAAACAGCTTAATTCCATCAGTGATGACGTGACTGATCAGATATCAGATTGATGACTTAGATGGCTATGAGACTGATAAGGTGTGGGGAATTTGTTAATGCTTGTATGCAAAATTTTTGTTTTCCAATTTTTGTTGTTGTGTAATAAATAAATAATATTTATGTTAAAAAGTTTTTATAATGTATTTGAGAACATTTCCTATTTTTATTTATAATTAATAAGAAAATGAAGAAAAAACTCTTGTTTAATTTAAGTATTTTAAACATGCTTTAAACTGTTTTAAACAAAAACGAACACACTAAAACTTATTCTACAATAAAATGTATGTTCAGTATTCTACTCTCAGCCGCGCTATTTTCTGCTATGATCGTTTTCGTAGAACCATATCTTAACGCTTTTAACTAACTCCCTCTAATCCAGCGAAATACTGCAGCCATTAAGAACAAAAAGGTTTGTTCGGACCGAGACAACTCCTTCTCGTCCTCGACGAGCTGAACCGGTTCTTTCCCTTTGTTTTCCCAAAGTACAAAGTTGTTAATATATCCTTGTCAGACAGACAATGCCCTTCTCCGGGAAAGAATAATTTCGTTTCCGTCCGTCAAGGAAAGTAGAGTTTCTGGAATATTTTAATTAGCCCCTAGCTCGATTCAACTGCGGACAGTTATGTACGACTTTTTGAAAACTTACAAAGATTTGCATTAGCAGAAAAGGCACTTGAAACGATGCTTTTCAAATTCGGGGCTTTCCTTAACAACAATACAGTTCTCGAATAATCTGAACAATCCGATAGGGAGTAATCTAGAAAGTTGGCTGGTATTTTATAGATATTGATATATTGATTGTTGCTGACTGAAATTCTTAGTGTTCTTGATTTTGTTTGGCATTTTACATATTCAAATATAGGGTAGTGTCTACTTGTCACTGTCTTTTGGGCTGTTCACATTACGTTAATCATGATTTTGAATTTTGAGCTGCCATAACTTATTTTAGAACAAGGGATAACTTTGTGAGGGTATATCACTTTGGTATATTTTTATATTTTCTTGCCCTTGCAGAACGAAAAGTAGTTTTCTTGTGAAAGAGAATGTACATTGATTTTTCTTCAAGTGTTGAGTCTTTTAAATGTGTAGTTCTATCTTAGACATAGAGTAGAGAGTAGATCTTTTTCTCTCTAGGGTTTTTTTATACCGTAAATTTTGAGAACGAGGCGAGCAGCCCCTACCTTGTGACGTTCTTAACGTCACTGCTCACTACTGGCCACTGGTTTTTGACCTGACCTTTTTAAGCTGTGGACATCTCAGCTGTACGTAGAGCTGTAACTAGAAGAAGACCATTATCCAGATAAGCTTAGGGTTAGGCGTTAAAATATTTGTAAAGCCTTCGTACGTGTACCATGCTTGTTTTGCCAATATATTGTAATTTTTTTTTCGATATCTTGTCTTATTTGGCTCTCTGTATACAGTTGATTAGGTTTCATCATTAGTATTAGATTTTTTTTCTTTGTGTGATAGTCAAGCAAAACAAGTTCCGACTAAAAACTCGGAGATTTGCGGCTTAATCCGTCTTGAGTCACTGGCGCTCTTAACACCCCCCTACTCTCCGCTTTATTGAGCTAGGTCCTAAACTTGCATGTCACTTGACAGCTGTTTTGCTTTGACTGATCCTTAGATTTCATTTATAGTAATTTACTAATTTATTAGTATATTTAAACGAAAACAAAAGGAAAGAGGAATCACACCGCGTGGCATCATGTCTGAGGTTGTAAACAGACAAACATGTCAATTCACGTCAATAGAAGTCAATACGTGATGACGTCGTGAAAAATAGCTTAGATTTCTATCAAATCTGTCTTTTTCTCATCTACTTTTGACAGTTTGTCCTTTAATCACACAAGCGGGGCACCACTACCATTGATCCGCACCCGTATTACGTAACTTAAAATTGATTTCGAGTAGGTTGACTTTGCACGCAACACTATCATCAGTTCTTAAAGGAATATTTTCGGCACAATTCTAAAATAAAATTAAATACGAAGAGCATAACAAAGGAATGAAATTAATCAATTCATACAATTAGTTTCTAGTCTCCATTTGCCAATATTGCGATAAGATCATAGGTGGGTCGCCCGTAGCTCCACAACCATTGTATAAAATATGCCCATATTTGATAAATAACTGGACTAACGCAGAAGTTGGACGTAATATTTGTGTTCTTAAATTATTTCTTGTCAAATATTCGTATTAGAATCACCTTCAGAGCAAAAAAATAATAGAATTCTTTACCTGCTCCCATACCTTGAAGGCAGGCGGATTACTTCTTTTCTCTCTGAATGTGGAGTGAATACATTTACATTTATATCATTCCAGCTTTTTGCGTAAAAGTGTCACATTGGAACTAGCTGTAAATTCTATACTATAGGTCGTTGTACTATACCATTCCTCCATACGTGGCGTCCACAGCGACTGCGCGTTGCGTGGACTAACGATTAGCTACTAGCTAATAAACAAGTTGTCATTATACAACTATATTCGTTTTTTGCATAATGCCCCTGCGCTGCCTTATTTCTGTTCCACATTCTTATCAAGAGGCTCTAATTGGACCAACTAATGGGTGACTCTTTATACGTAGAAGCACTTTTCAAATGCTTCTCCAGGGTGATACAGAAAAATTTGGCAATGTTTCTGAGGTACCAGGTTTATTCAAAAATAACAAACAAAGTTCATATAAACATACAAAGGGTACTATAAAAATAATTATAATAAATGATCACTGATTATAAGGTTATAAGGTGAACATAAAGTTGGTAAACGTTTTTTCGTCGATTGAGGCAGTACTAGTCATAAATCTCAACGGTGCTCCCTAAAGGCGTGCTACACTCATATTATTCAGGTCCAAAATTCGTAATGATTCCTCACTTCGAAGGATAAAAAACCGTTAAATCAAAATGTAAGAGGAAAGGAAGGAGCAAGAAGCATAAAAAGCCCCCAGGCGGTTGCCGCGGTCGAAGTAAACACGGCCTTACAAAGAACGTAATAATTGCCTCGATATGACGGTACATCTTTCTAGGAAAAACAAAAACAATTTAATCAAGCATCACAATGATGTAATTTTCCTTTATCCTCCGGCTCTAAAGAAAAAGCGACGCAGCGGTGCGGACGGCAAGGAGCGCTGGTGTACGGTATACGTTTTTCATTCTTTTCACTAAAGTTCATGTATACAGAATGTCCGGATTTTTGATTGCTATTAGGTCATGGAAAAAATAACATCAAGTAGACGATGTATGTATGAAAAATGAAAATTACGAGTTTCAAGAAGGTACTTGATCATTCGATATTCAAGCAAGTTGGATCCCTATTCTTGAGAAATGAGAGAGAGAGAGAGAGAGAGTGTGTGACAGAGAGTGTGTGTGAGAGAGAGTGAGCGAGAGCGAGTGTGTGTGAGAGAGAGAGTGAAGTGAGAGAGAGAGTGAGTGAGAGAGAGACACGTATACACAGAGGGAGGCACACACACACAGAAAGAGAGACCCACAGATAGAGAGGCACATACACAGACATGCATAGAGAGAGAGGGAGAGACATAGATAGAAAGAGAGACACGCAGAGAGAGGGAGGGAGAGATAGAGAGAGTAACACACACAGAGATAGAGACACAGAGAGGGAGAGAGAGACACACACCGAGAGAGAAAGACAGAGAGAAAGACAAATGGAGAGATCCAGAGAGACACACACACACTGAGAGAGAGACACACAGAGAGAGATACACCGTGAAAGACACACCGAGAGAGAGACACAGAGAGAGAGACAGACAGGAGAGAGACACATACACGCACACACAGAGAGAAACACACACACACAGAGAGAGTGAGATACATACACATAGAGAGAGACAGAGACAGCGAGAGAGAGCGTGCTTCTCTTATCTTTCGGTGACAATAGTCGTTCCCGGGGTCATTGTCGCCGTCGTCTATCAGTTTTGTCTCTAAAAATGAATTTGACTTTGTGATCCTATAAGCACTTATTTTGACGAACATCATGTATTCACAAATTTATTCATTTAAAATATAAATCTCCGAAATATCTTTTGGACACATTAGAGAAAAGATCTTCACTCCATCAACTGTTCCTCCGTAATGAATATTGTTATAATATACCAGCCCACACTACCTCAAAATTTAAAAAATGTTTCTATTATATAGCTCCCAGTATACTAAATGATTACCCAAGTTTCTTTAAATTAACGTCCATTCACAGCTTCAAAAGAGAATTCAAAAGAATGCTATTACAGTTACAATTTAATGAATCCACAAGTGGCTGAATAAATCTCATTATCAATCTTATTATAGGTACTTTAAAGTTTTGTTAGCATTATTATAGTAAACCAAATATCCTTTATGTAATGTATATGATATACCCTAGTAAGATATAGTAATGCACTTAATGAATTTACCTTAGTTATTCAGGCGGGGGTGAAAAATGGCTATGCCAATCCCCAGCCCTTTGGAGTATTATTTTTTGTTGTGTTATATTATTTGCTCGTATTTTGATTCTATTATGTATTAATACTCCAATAAACATTATTATTATTATTATTATTATTATTATTATTATTATTATTATTATAAACGTTGTGGCCATTCTATTCCCTCATCCAAATAGTTGGGTCCCTGGAATATATTACCACGTCAATAAGGATCACTTTGTATACCTATGGGCCACCGTCTTCAGGCTCCAGCGCTGCCACCTCTGGGACTGTCGTACGTTATGGGTTTTCCTTTTTCATCGTTGAAATATTTTAAGAATACGAAATCTTGGGAATAATTACGGAAAAGCTTGAGGGGTGATATTTCATTGAAGGTTGATCTCATTTGAACAATTTTCTTCAAAAGGCAAATGGAGTTTGATTTTATTACTTTTGAGGGAATTGCCGCAATCCTACTTGGATGCATGGCTGTGATAATAACAACCGCTTATGAATGTCCAAATTCAGCAGAGTGCTGGGCATATTGGAATATTTCCAATGTTCCTTGATATGTTTTCCTAAAATAATATGAACGACCCTGAAGAATTTAACTAGTGTTTGTCCAAATTGCTATTTTTCACCAAACAACTGTCTTGATCCACATAATCAACACGTAAATAGAAACTGTGTTGAAACAAGGCAAGATATTGCTATATTTTTCGACAAAAACTGTTTTCAATCCCCCATGTTTGGCTATGAAAATGAAACCACATATATTTGAAATGTTCTTTAATGTAGTATACTCGTACATACGTTTCGGTTACAACCTTTTTCAGTACCTGACACATTTGACAATATTTTATTTATCTGTCCTCCAGGAGACACTTCCTTTGATTTTTCATTTCATTTGATGTCTATACACAGTGTGTTACTACAATAGTCTGAAAGGTCCGTAACATGTCAAGATTATGCAAAGCCATCATTCCAAATTTTAAAAGATGGCACCACGTAAAACCAGCGTAGATCAGGACCGCCTGGGGCAGGCGTAACTGTATATAAACAAGACTTTCTATTTCTGGAAAAGAACACATGTTTCTTAATTATTTTGTCATATCCTTTTTGTCTTTATGTAAGATTGAATACTATACCGATTCCGGTCCTGGTTCCATCGCTTGCCTAATGAGTTTTTTCTGCTAGGACGGGGAACGCACGTCTGTTCCATTGTAAGGAGATCAATCTTCCTCTCAGCTCGAAAATCCTCGCGGATTAAACTATTTTAAATTGCGAAGCTGATCAGCAGCGAAGTACACGCTGAACCAGCTAAATTGGAAAAAAAGTCCTCCGCGTTATTTTCCGACAGGCTTTGGAGGAGTACGCTGTTATTATTATTTTATTACAGCAACCGGGCTGACTAGATTTCGCAAATTCGTCCAGATAGCACAATATAGGAGACAGTAACCAGAAGTAGCAGTATTCTTCCTACCAATAGGATTGTTTCAGAATGCCATGCCATAGAATGCAGTATAAAATCAAATCTATCATTGCCAAAACCTCGTAAGTCACGCAATTTGAAATGTTCAGAAGGCAATAACAACTGTGCTATTGACAAATAAATGAGCTTTCCTTTTTGGGCTTATAGAATTAGGGTTTTAAAGGACTGAAATTTGAAATAACTTTCACATTTCATTAATAATAATAGGGAAAACCTGAAAAACTGTTATGAACTTACGTTGTTTTAGCAGCAAATAGAGTTAGTGGTATGTAACAAGATTCATGTCGTTCATGGATTATTATTGAAAACTACACTTAACGTGTCACGTTTTTTTATTCTGCATGTTTCAATGTATTTATTGTACATAGGGGAAACCTAGGCAAAACCCTGGGAAAAACGAATTTCCTGTTTCATAGTCAAACAATGAGGCGGCCATCGTAAAGAAGTACCAGAATTACCTTTAAAAAAAAAAGATTTGGCAATATATGTGCTGTGCGTGTTATATCTGAGTGCAGCTTTTTAAAATATATTTAAATAAATTTCTCTGACAACAGACAAACCAATGGAGAAGATTATGTCCAAGGTTTTGATAGGAAACAATAAAACTCTTCAATACGTGATTTTGGGCCAAGCGGAGAAGTCTAACTGCATACTGTATCACCTTATCCTTGTAGTTAGCGAATTTAGAATTCGTATTTCGGTGCATATAAGCACATAAATATGAAATAAATAATTTTTTTGGAACTGTCTTTGAAACGAGTCAGTCAAGTGTCCGCCGTGGAGTAGAATACCCAGAAATTTAATCTTAAAAAAGCATGTTGAAAATAATGGACGTAAGAGGTTTTTGAAATGACCGATTCAATTATTGCTTGTGACACAGCGCAGAACGAAACGGCTTCACACTGTATCACAGGGCAAAGCAAAGCTCGCCAAAAGGCTTGGAGATATGGTATTTTGAGCATAGTACGTTTAAGATATCATAAAGTATAAACGTCTTTGCCCACGTAACCGTGTCATTCTTGAATCTATCCAACGAACTTACGGAGTAATAAAACAAGTGACAGGGGAGCCTGATTTACACCGCACAACTACTTGCAAAACCGATAATGCGTTATCGCCAGTGGTGTGTAGGTTATAAAATTAATTGAGGTACCATTTAATTTATTTTCACTGTTTCTTATATCTTTTCATTACTTTCAAGGTGCTATAAAGTTTATTACATTGATATATTAAATATGCTGCCCCAGTTTATGATTCGTTAACTTTACATATTTTATATTACAAAAATAATTTTAATACATCGGAAAAAATAAAGAAAATGGCTCAAAAATTAAATGCCTTTTTAGACTGGATTCTGGATCTTTTTAATATAATACCTAATAATGAATCTACCTGCATTCATTACCACGTTTATTTCGACGGCTGTATACGGATAGACCTTAAAGTGGATTATCCCAATCATGTGTAATCCTGACCGTTTATTTCGGCAATCCACAAAACAAACCAAAACTGATAACGTCAAAATCTTGGACAGAGGGTTCCTTCGAAATTAGCGGTCAGGATTAACACAGGATTGGGATAATCTACTTTGAAGTCTTTTCGGATAGAGCCGTAGAAATAAACATGGTAATTATATAAGTATGTATATAGGTCCTTCGTCATTATCCAGTAAATATACAAGTTACACTTATCAACTAATCGCTATCACTATCAGTATAATCTGATGATTCTGAGTCGTTTCCTAAGTTAATAATCACTGGTTCAACCACTCTTTCCATACATTGGTCGGTTGTCCACATTTTTTATTCCTCCTACTCAACATATTCGATTGCTTTTTTCCAATTTTCCGGAGTTACATTTTGTACCGCGGTGTAAAAAAGCTGCTTTGCATCTGCGATCTTGAAAGTTGTGTTTTCTCTGGAAACTTCGTTTTCAATTTGCGCCCAAATTAACTCGATTGGGTTAAACTCGCAATGGTACGGAAGCAGGCGTAAAATGTGTCAGAACTTTTATTGCCCTTGACCAGATTTAAAAGTTCTGCTTTGACCATATCGTTGTCAAAAGGAACATTATGCCTTCGTATCCATTCCTGTATTTCCCCTTTTCTGTTTCCACTGTTTGGTGCTTTATCAATATGCCTGCTATGGTATGAAGCATTGTCCATAACAATGACAGCGTTCTCTTTTACATGGCTTATAATATTTTCAAATCATTCTTCAAATAAAATGGCATTCATATCGGCGTGGTAGTCTCCTGCTTGTTTTGACTCGAACACCAATAGTCCGTCTTCCACGAAGCCATTATCAGATCCGATGTGTAAGATAATTAGCCGTTTTCCTTTATCTTACGCATTTTTCAGTCCCGTGGATATACCTTCCAGGAAAGTTGCCTAGGAAGCTCAACTGATGAATCCACCCATTCTATGCTAACAGTGTGCCCTGCATCGAGCCAAGTCTCGTCTAGGTAGTAAATCTTCCTGCCTTCTTCTCTATACTTCCAGATTTCGCGTAAGAATCTACGTCTCCAACATATTATCTCGTCCTTTTCTTTCAAGACGCTATTTCGCTAATTTCGTTAATTCAATGAACCATATAGGAATACCGAATTTCAGGTGATTCAGCTTAACAAAATTGCAAATTGAGTTTAGTCATAAAGTATAGATGAATAATGATAAAAAACATAAAAAAACTTCAAAATATTTTTGTATGTGAACATTTTACGGACTTTTTTAGTTTTGTATTTTACTTTCAAGGAGAAATAAAAAACAAAATAATTTTTTTGTACAACACTTACCGAAAAGTAAGTTGCTTCATCAATGTAGCCAACGTCGATCTTTTGAAGTCTGGCAAGTCGTCGTCGTCGCGCGTCGTTTATTGATAACAAAATTTTGTCCAATGTGGATGGTTCGTTTCGGAAGAAAAATTCGTGGATTTTTCTTCGGATTAATGCCTCAGTTTCTTGTGAAACGTTGTCCAAAACTACTCTGGCTCTTTGGTAACCTTCGGGAGGAGAAAAACTGTTGCTTTTTTGTGCTCTGCCAAAATTTTGTATAGGTACACTGCTAGTTGATGCTCCTGAAAACAAATTAATGCATTATGCATATATTATATATACATGCATTAATAAATAATAAAAATAATTAAAAAGAAGTTTTAAGAATCAAAATGTGTGCAATAGAAGTAGTTATCGTATTAGTGGGTAAGATATTTAACAGAAAATAATTATTATTTAGAATAATACATCAAACTACAAAAGATTTTAAATTATACTTCAAAGCTAAATCCTCACCTGATGCTCTTGAAACAAAGGCTACACGTTCTGCCTGAGTTTCATTTGGTTCTCGCTCCCGAGAAGCTACATAAATATTTATAATAGTTTATTCTCCAGAAACCGACAAAGCTCTTTTTGTCCGTTTTCTTGGTAATTGACTATCGTCTAATAAGACACTTTTTCAACTAATGGTATAAATACTACATAAAAATTAGCTATTTGGACTGTTGTTAACTGTTGTATTGAAACACACTCTTTCGCGTATCATATCCGTTCACACGCAAATCTTAGAACAATCCTATGAAACGGTATATTGTTAAAAACCTGAAAATAGTAAGATGCGAATAAAATACGGACTCTCAATTTATTTTCAATATAAATTTTTATGTATTTTGGAAACATTAACCTCCACATAAGACGTTAAGCATCTGTGTTTAAGTTTTTGCGTCATGTCTACCGCATTTTATCAGAAACAAAACTAGCTTCCGAAAGACTCAAACTGAAATATATTCAGAAGCGTAGACGAGCATATCGTCCAAACAGTAAACAGCATTAGACATTCATCTTGTGCAAAGTTATACAAATTGAAGCTAGCAATTGTCGTCGTTCGAAGATAGGACCACCGCATATAGAGCTGTTTTGATTTACATGATAAATAGCCGAAGCTGCAAAAGTCACGGCAACCCTCGATTACCGGCACATTTTTGACCTAAATACAGCCACTCTCCGTTATGAATTCCTCCAGAGCTATGAGACGATCGATAGTAACTGGAGATGGGATACTCCATAAACGTACTAGTATTCAGTATCCACAAAATCGCTAGACTTGAATAGGAACATACACATGCAATTATTTCATCCATATTGTCTGGTTAAAGTATCAGAATTATAAAATATTCGAACTTTCCCTATATTAGGGATGGCGATTCAGATAAATTTTAAAATCCATTCGAATCGCAATCTACTGAATCGTTTCACAAAAAATCTAGGTGTTAAAGATCGATTTTAAAACAATCGTTTTTTTCGAGTTTGTTATTACAATATAAATAAATCAATTTTATAAAAATCAAGGCACCATGATAACTGATCTCTTTCAGCGCAGGCAGATGGAAAAGTAACGATAGCCATCTACTAACGCTATCTTTTCTGCCGATCTGCTATCATTAAAAAAAAAGAAATTATTTAGCTCGGGAAACTTAATAATCACAAATCCTCATCCCTCCAGTATATGAAACTTGCAAACCTGTTTAGCTCCACTGCTACGGCAAAGTGCATCAATAGGGGGTTTGTAAAATTTCTGGAGAATCGCTTCTTGATTAGCAACATGCTGTATGGGCACTAATAATACTGCTTTTGTCCATCTGACCAACAGAGGGCCAACCATGTACAAACTGTTTCATGTTTATTGTAAAAAATCAATTCGGTGTAGGCTTGCTCTATATCTATAGGTTGGACAAAGCAGGAAAGCAGAGCAAAAATATTCTCTATGAGACTTAAACGTTTGTCCAAATGCGATAACTATCGTATTGTTATTACAAAGAATTTTTGTGAACCACGGCTTGTCAGAGGGGCTTTGCAGGTGAGATGCTTAAATCCTCTTTTGACGCAACATATTCGTCGAAATTGACATTTCACACTGTTAACGCAGGTTTTTCTCAAAATCAGCTCCTGTTACACATTATCGATTTTTCTCCCTGTATGATAAATATGTTCTTCAGCTTGGTGGATTATAGCATGCAGCCATTCACAGTGCTAGACGGATGTGTGTGGTTGAGATAGGGTCTCTGCATGAGACGCCAGGCAGTTTGATCTTTCCAACATTCACCGGTGTAGGGATTTTGTTACCGGTGCTCTACTCTGTTTTAATCAACGTTTTCGGACTAGGTTGGAAGAAGCCAAACGATTGTTTGTTAGCAACATCAACAGATTATTGTTTACACAAAATTTGATCTTGAACGAAAATTCTATACTTTCCGCGAGTAGACATATGCTTTTTACATAACATGCAACATTTCACCATCTTCGAGAATAGTCCAAAATGCTCCACTGAAATGTTTTAAAATCCTCAAAACTCTGTGTAAATATCACGGAAAACACACGTAAACATAACATGAGCAAAATAAAGCTTCCCCTCAATTGCACAAAGCCGCAGCATAAAACACCAGAAATCAGCCCAGCTGATCTGTTTGCCACCACAGCGTTGCCACGTCTAGTACACAAATATTAGTTTTTCAGGAAATATCACCGGGATATAACAATTCATATTTCATAATTGTCTTCGGTGCTCATTTCAGATGTATTTTGAAGAGCTAAGTACGAAACCAGAATAAGAATAGCTTAAGTCGTTTTCGGAAAACGCTGTGATATTTTTTTTGAAAAATTATTTGTTTTAATTTTTCCGAGTTCCGTGAAGTTGGTAGGTTTGGAAGCTATGATGACACTGCATCAGTTAGTGGAAACATTATAATATGAAATATATTAGGGTACTGAAACCAATGACTTTCTTTTCGGTGCAGGTGTTACAAACAATTTATAACTGTATATACACATAAGTTGTTCTATTTGAAAATACAACATATTGGAGACAAATCAATACTCTTTATTTTGTTATCACCATGTATAACATTTTACGATAATTTTTGCTCTGCTCAGTGCTATCATCAATCGATTGCGAAGACAGTTGTTGATTTTGAACAAGATGTGGCAACACCGCACGAAACTGGTTGCCACTCGAGTTTGTGTGTCGCTCTAGATGAGTGATAAAAACAAATCGGTCTGTTTATGTCTTCTACCCGAATTCGAATTC